AAAAATGCAGTGGGATTATTGGTAATTTTTCTTCAAACAGGTCAGCTGTTAATTTCTACCCTTTTTTCCCTCTAGTTTTTGTTTAAATGTGTAAATTGTGTTATTAATCCAGTATAGATAATAATTTTGTATTCTGTATTTTTCATGTTGATATATCATCTAACACAGGGGTCTTCAGACTTTTTCAGTAAAGGGTCAGTTAACAAATATGTTATTCTTTGTTGGCCATAGGGTCACTGTCATAACTTCTAATCTTTGCAGTTATAGTATAAAAGCTGTCAGACACAGAGACAATGCCTAAACCCCTGAGTGGGAATGTGTAAAAGCTGTCAGAGACAATACTAAACTCATGAGTGGAGCTGTGTTCCAATAAAACTTTATTTACAAAAACAGATAAGTCAGATTTGGCCCATGGACAGTAGTTTGCTGACCTCTGATCTAAATAATTATTTTAATGGAATCTAGTATTTCTCTATACAAGTTTTTCAATATTAAAAGTCATGCTGTAATTAATACCATTTCCTCTTTTTAGTATTATATCCTTAAGATAAATTTCCAGAAATGAAGTTACTGATTCAGGTTTGTGGCTTTGAAAATTGCTAGATGCCCAAGAGACAAGTTTCAGTTTTTGTAAATTACTCACAAGAATATACTTTGATTTCTTTGTGGATAAATATAATGGCTAAAACCTTATTGGGTATCTTTGTTTTGAGGATTTGGGGAAGAGGCTTCCCTTTGTCAATACAAATTTTAAAATGTAAAGAGGGCATTAATCTATACTATGGAAAATAATATGTCTCATTTCAATATTTATTAGTTATAAATCTTATAACTTTAAGATCTTCATATCTTAAATTTTAATATCTACTTATGAGCATATTTCAGTTTAAATTTAATAATTTTGTGTTAGAATCTAAAATTCACTGTACTTTGATTAATCTTCACTTAACTTATAAAATATATTAAATTTCCCTGAACATTGTACACCATTTGCTAACTTGCTTACATCACAATTTTTATTATATTTGATTTTCTTAAATAACGCAAACAGCTGCAAGACACACTTACACATCAAACAAAGGAAATCTCCCTAAGCACTTAGACATTGTTTATAAACCTCCTAAATCTAAACTTACTGATTTAATCAATATGACTCCTGTAAGCATTTAAAAGTAGATTGCAAACAGTTAAGCTTTTATAAGTCTAATACATCAGAATCTCTTAAATTCTTCAAACCTTAAAGGCAGACACAATTATTCAATGATGATAAAGTGTATTACGACACATACCCTAACCTGTTATAGTAATTTGTCACATTAGTATTAATAATATAAGTTTGGTCCCTTTTTAAGTCATGTCTGTACTTGTTTTTATATCTTTTTTAGGTTGTAGGGT